GAGTATGTATTATGCTGAGTTACCATGCTTTTGTATTTGCCCTTAATATGGGACATATTCTCTCAGTCTTTGTCTTTCAAGGCAGTGCCACTGTGGAAGATTAGAGAGTAGCTACTTTGTAAAAAAGGATTCTGGCGGATTTCTGTTGTAAGGTGCCACTGAGTTGACTACTGTGAGTGATGGATCTGAACGAGGACCTACCTTTGCTATCTTCATAACTTGTCATTACATCAGTTATAGGTACTGTGTCTCCCTATCTCATTGAAGGTTTTCCTCTCTTTTCACTGACCCTCCACCTTTCCAAGCATTATGTCTTGTTCCACAGACTGGCCCCTCCTGACATCATGGCCAAAATATGTGAGATGAAGCTTTACTGTTTTTTTCCTCCAAGGAGTACTCTAGTAAGGAATTTCACTGTGAACCCAAAGGCAAGCAGTTTGAATCTACAAGATGGACAGTTTTCTTCCCATGTGATTTACAGCCTCTGAAAACACACTGGAATTGGTTCTAAATTACAGTATATAATAATAACAACAGCATTTTGTAATATGTTCTTTTGACTTGTCAAGATTAGGTTTAGGTTATATGCATTTTTTTTTTTTTAGAAATACAAATGAAGTCATATTACATCTTTTGAACATTATAACATGCTAGGACGTATGCAATGCAGTTTTGTCACATTGGTAGAAATGGTGACTTTGATTATTTGGTTAATGTAGTTTGACATTTTCCCCATTTTAAAAGTACTTTCTCCTTTTTTAATTGATAGAATTAAAATTTGATGTCCTTTCTTGTTCTTTATCAGATTCTTTTCTCCCATCACTTTTGTTATCCCTTAATGATTTTTACCATATTGATTATTACTAAGACATGCATTGAAAAAAGCCCTTTCAGCATGTTATCAGTAAGTCCTAATTTATTGTAGTTATTAGGTTTATCATATCTTTTGAGGTTTATTTTATGATGCTGTGTGCAAGGTTTTTGTAACTACTTTATCCTGTTGTTGTTGTTTCCGACTCATAGCGACCCTATGCACAACAGCCCTAAACCCTGCTCTATCCTGCGCCAACTGCACCGCCTCTCACACACCCATCCCTATTACCCCAGTCACC